GGTGTCTTCCTCTCCCCCTCCTTCCTCTCCTACATGTTTTCTTTTGGTGAGGCTTGGTGGGGGGCACATGGCTAAAAAAGTCTTGGAGTCGGTGCAAGGCGGTAACAACGTGAGAATCAAACGGGAAACTAATATGACTGTGCATATTGAGAATGGATGTGCCTGTGGCTGTATTTTGGGAAGTTTGGGTCATATGAATGGTCTTTTGTGGGAAAACTTCCATTCTAGATATGGCCAGTATATGTCCAGGTTGCCCATCTGTATGGGAGTTGGCCGATTGTATAGAGGTGACTGTTTGAAGCTGGACCATCAACGGACTCGGAGGTGGTATATAGTGTAGTGTGTTTTTCAGTTTGAGTGCTTGTGTCCAGTTTTGTGGGTGGCCCATCTTCAGTTATAGCCTCGATTACTGAGGAGGGCTTGAGGTTGGGGGATTCTGAACTGATGTTATGTGACAGATTATCGGGCAAGGTGGGTTGGGCACCCTTAGCTAGTACGACATTGTCAGTATTGGCCTTAGCAGCATTTCTTTCTATACCGTTTAGGTTTGGGGGAAGGGGTGGTAAATCGTTGGATTTTGACACATTCATGATCGATGAGGTATATAATATGCTTTAGGGGTATAGTGAGTGGTCCATGGTTATAAGTTTGACAGGACATGGATCAGGTGGTGGGAGGAGGCCTATCCTTGGATTTGTAGATCTTTTCCAACAGAAAATCCTGTTTGTGTTGAAATCATCCACATCTCTCCTAAATTTCCCTAGCTTATTGCTAATCAATTCATCCTCTTTTTTTCTTAGTACATTTCTTGAGTATAATCAGCCAGGTTATGGGGAGGAGTGGGATAGAGTTTAAAACAGTATTGATTATTTTTGATTTCAGAAACTGGAATTTTCTATCTCTCTGTTTTGTGATCACCTGCATCCATTTTTCAGTGCAGAATATGGATACATGGGACCACTCCTTCTGGAGTATATCCATCCAGTTTTATGCTGTTTTTAATATTGCTGGAACTTTGTGTCCCACAATTACGGCATTTCATCATTGCCTCCTATTTATATGGCACCTATATTAGTATACTCCCAGGCCTGTAGAAGGAGCTAGAGGCTCCTCCGGTCCTCCCACAATTCCAGTGACATCACTTCCACCGCTGGTTTGGCGCAGAGCTTCCTGGACCTGCTGGCAGCCCTGTGTCCATCTCCACCTCCAGGACCCTCTAGGATTGCGGCTGGCATTTTTCCTGCAGGAGGGAAAGGAGCGGCCCATAGATTCACAGATGAGCCCTATTTTATATTTACTCTTGTGAGTGTTTCTTATCCTGTGTCATTAAATCGCTTACTATTCTACTGCACTTAGTCGGCGCCTCCTTTTTTTCTCCTCTTCTGTTATTTAGAGTTGGCAACACTCTATAGGAAGGCAGCCTTTATCTTCAGCATTCAAAGGACTTTAATCACCTCTGGATTATGGCTCTATAGCACCCCTATGGCAATTTGTTGATTATGATTGACTTGTATTTACTGTATATTCTGGATAACAGAGCTCTGTGCTCCAGTATTATATTGTCTTTGTAGGTCTACGCCACCAGGTTTAGTTTAGATCTGTCAGGGTGATGGAATGGCAGCCTGAGTACATTAGGTAGGTTTGTGTACTGTTTGCATGCACTTGCCAGCATGCAACATGGATCACTATCCTATACCCATTTATTTTTCTTTGGAGCATCTACTGCTAAATTAATACATTTTGCAAATATGTATAAAAAAAACATTAAAATTACTGCTTCAGTTTATTTTCCTATTACTGACTTACTATACCTTGTTCTACAGTGTGTTTCTGTTTGGAAGTGGCCCTCTTTGTAGAGGCAGGGCTTTACATCATTATATCAGACCTTTGGAAAAGGAATTTAGAGCAGCACAGGTGAATAACATCACTGAATCTCACTCCGGATTCTGAATTTCCAAAAACAGAAGCTACGGGTGTATGGGGAGAACTCAACCCACACCTACCTTTACATCAATCCCATACTGAGAGGGAGAACAACAATATAGGATACATTATTAGAGGTTGCCATCTGTTCAGGATCTGCATCAGGCAATCGGTAGAAATTGGTGAGCAGGATAACACTGGTGGGGGCCAGCTGGGCTAGTTGAGCTCACTGTTAATAGGCATGCAAATTGGGCACCCCCAATCATCCCAAAGATTTTGGAGCAAAGAATGTATTTCAGTTGATATAAGGTATCTTATCCCCCCCAAATGTCAAATGGTGATTTAAGAAGACTGTATGGAGCACAAATGTGGAAGCATTGCTTTGTAAAGGAGCTATTATAGCAACAATTCAGCAGTCTCATGCATGCATTGTGTTCCCAGTCTATGAATGTGTCTCCTGTAGCATGTCTGCAGGCTCTGATCATCTCTTCTAGTATGCCTATAGTCTCTGAACATCTCCTGCTTCATGTCTGCAGTCTCTGACTCTCTTTTGTAATATGTCTGCAGTCTTTGACCACCTCTTGTTGCAGGTTTTCAGTCTCTGACAGCTCTCTGTAGTTTTACATTTACTGGATATTATGTGCAGTCCTTTGCCTGGGGCTGCAATTGAGGCCCTCTTTATCAAGTAACATGATCATCACTGTTTTAGAACCTCTGTGAGAATTTTATTGTCGGTTGTTTCCCCATAAGGGAGATTTCTCCTTTTGTCCAAGTGATGTTTGTCAGACTGAACAGGAAGAGAAGATACATTTGAGACAGACACACATATTGAAGGTCTAATCATCTGTTTTCATGTTTGAATGCTGAAGAAACACGAGAGGTGATTTAATAAAGCATTTGCAACACTTTTCTGGTTTTGTGGCCATATTACAAAGTCCTGTGCCAAATTCATGAAAGCCATGCTATGGTTTTCCTTCTATTTCTGACACGTGCAGCAAATTCAGGTAGTATTTTTACATTTGCGAAACTCATTGAGAAATACCATCATATCATTGATAAGAAAAATAAGACCTCCTCCACGTTAGAATAAGCTGTGTTGCAAGTGTAATTATTGTGTAGCAGATAAAATTCTGTCTGAGGCAATTCTGCAACATATTCATGGACACCTTATCAACAGTTACATAAATCTGTTGCAAGTTGCACCATTTGTTGCATGGAGTGGAGACAAACATCTATTCAATATCTGTCTGTTGCACCCTTTATGAATTCTAAGGATTGTGTTCATTGAGGTTGATTTGCAGCCTTGAATGATCAGGAACAGTTTAAAATCTGGTGATATGTCTACATTAATTCATTTACCCTGTGGTTGATGTAAACCTATGTTAAGGTGTTGGTCTTCACTATGAACTCTGTCAATTATTGAATTAGTAGATTTATCGCGTGGAAGAGTTTTATCACAGAAGTTTATTCTATCCTCCTTTCCAGCTTCATTGTTCAGGTGTCTAACAAACTGATGTTGATGCTTGAATCTCTGTTGAGTACAACCAATCAATCAGTTCTGTCCCTATTGATTTTACTTTTATTCATCTTAAGAAAACCACAATTAAATTTCTTCAAAAATTTACATCATCTTTGCAGTCCTACATGGGTTGTTTAAATGGAACCAATGGGACATTTGTTAACTAGCAAAAAAAAAAAATCTCACTTTTTAAAGTAAACATTTCCTAAGAGTAATATGAGTCTTTGCCTTGCTATCTCGTTGCTGAACTGCTGGTTGTTAATCTGGCCCTCTGTCTTCATTATTCTATGTGTTACTAACCTGGAATTAATATATAGATCTGAAAAGACAGACGTTCTTATTTGCATACATTTTATGAGTTATTGACTCAGTCTATTTAAAGCGGACCCCTTCCTCTTCCCCCCTCTCTCTCTTACCATCGGACTTGTTTTGGTCTAAATTTCCTTATGTATGCTGCAAAGCAGCAGTTCTGCTCTGCTCACCTAGGTGAGTCTGTGTCACTGCCCCCAGCATGTGTGCAGATGTGCCGCAGGGTTCGGATTCCTAGAGAGCCCTGCGGTACATCTGCATGTGTGCTTGAGTTACCTGGTATCTGTGCACTTGCTGGTTTTGCCATGCACACACTAGCATTTATCCATGTCTTTTGCACATGGATTTTTCATGGTGTGCACACAGATCGCTCAGGTGCTCTGCCAGGACCCCAAAGCTGGGCAGAGCTTGTGGCCATGTCTGCGCTCGCACCATAATGGTTTGTTTTGGGGGGTAGAGCCACATAAGCAAGCTGATTGAAGTTCCCCTTTAATCAGGAGGGTCACAATGATAGCCAGGCAACTAGCATTGCAGAATGAGAATCCAGCATTGGCAGACTCCTTGTTTTTTGTAATACTCCTTGATATGGGCCATGATATTCTGAGTGTGTACTTCAAAATTTGTCTCCTAGTCCTTGAATTTGAAGATACAATTTATGACATTTGGTAAAATTTGTACTCTGTTTATTCCAAAAGTGTTAATACAAACTTTCCAAAGATGTATTAGGCTGTTTAAATGCCCCTCCATTCGTGGGGTTAGCTCATTAAAGCATTTCTCATATTGAGGACCAGAACATTTTATTTCTTCCTCCCTCCTAGATTGTAAGCTCGAAAGAGCAGGGCCCTCGATCCCCTCATGTTTTGCATTGTATTGTTATTGTTCTGTCACATGTTCTGTCCCCCTTTGTAATGTACAGTGCTGAGCAAACTATTGGCGCTTTATAAATACTGTATAATAATAATTTCTGAAGTGCACTTTTCCAGTTGCATGTGTTCTCAGTTGCATGTGTTCTCAATCAGAAGATCCCTTTGCAATGGTAGACACAGAACAAAAAGCTAAAATGTCAAAAGTCTCCATTACTGCCTTCAAGGAAATAGCATGGCATGCACATTGGCACTTTGGGCCATATCAGCAGTAGGCGATCATTGAAATGGGTAGTGAGAGCTATTTGCTAATACTGATTTCTTTCAGCAAATAAAAGTGTTAGTTTTCTTTGTTAATATAATTCTATCAATGCTTTTTCTTATAGTACCCTGTGGAGAAAACCTGAAGAAGATGATAATAAAGAAATTTAGCAAATGTGATGAGGAAATCAATATATACATTGAGTTTTTTTTTCCGACCTTATGAACTGAGCAGTTTTGATGACACTTTTTGCTTGTCTATGGCTAATTCAGCAAGGTATAGCTAAGCAGCTGGTATATATTTTTATTTAGCATGTGCACATGGACAGCATTTCATGGCTTTATTAATTTATGGATGTTAATAGGTGTTTTCATGCTTCCTTTTTACAGGGATTTTATGCCAAAAAATGTTGGCATTGATCCAAGCCCGTTTACTGTACGTAAGCCAGAGGAAACTGGAAAATCGGTCCTAGGGTAAGAAATTCTGAGTATTGATATTGTTTTAAAAAATTTACTGTTAATCTCTGATACCAGATTGGAAGCTACTTTATTCTTTGGATCACAGTTACAGGATGAAAAAAAAATCTGCCAGTTCTACAGCCATTTTATGGGCAAACCTTTTGATGAAGTATGCCCATTGTTCATTGGACATTTATTTTTATTTTTTAATGTGCCTCACTTCTCTTTGTGTTCTGACTTGGTTTAATCACTTCAATAACTTTAACCCCTTCCTGTTTAGGCCAATTTTTAGTTTTCAGCACTGTTGCACTATGAGTGACAATTGCACGGTCATGCAACAGTGTACCCATATGAAATTTTTTACATTTTTTTCACACGAATAGAGCTTTTCATTTGTTGGTATTTAATAAGCACTGTTTTTTTTTCTGATAAATGAAAAAAGACTGAAAATTGTGAAAAAAAACTGGAGCTGCATATGCTTTATCTTTAACACCGCCTCCTGTTCCAGGCCAATTAATACCAAGTGGACTTCGCCAGGATCTTTTTTTAGCAGCCTGGAGAGCAATGCCAGCAAAAGGTCTTTTAGTCAGGAAACAATAATCTACTAAGCATTAAATGTTTACCATAGTACAGTGCCTTTAACGGTCAAATATCCATGAATTAGATCCAAAATGGGGAACGATAATTAATCAGTGTGTCCAGTTTAGGAGATCAGGTAAGTTGTACATTAGTTATCCTTCCACCATCAACAAAAAATTGGTAGGAATCTGAGTGATATAGGTTCCGGTCATTCCTATGTATAGGAAATACTGAGGATCGTGTACATAATCCAACGGAACATAATTCAGTCAGTTCCGTATCCATATAAATACATCATAAGGGTCTAAAATGATGTTGTGAGGCAGTCATTATTTAGTAATCATGTGCTTAAGATCAAGGACTGCAGGAGAAAGCATGGCAGTACCAGCAGAAGTATAAGTTGTCATGAATAATAGGCGGAACCTATGTCACTCAGATTCCTACCAATTTTTTCCTCCAACATGGTTATTTTTTATGATGTTGATGGTCAATTATTGAATTACTTTTTGATTCCTTCACAGGGTAATGTTTTATTTTATATTGATTAGAGTATACTCGTGATTATTGGCATACTATGTTACATCATTAATGACAGCCTGTGGATATCGCAATCCGGATTGCTGTTTTGTTTTTTTTATATTTGTGATGTGTGTATTTTTCACTTTGCAAGGTTTCACCTTTTTGTGAGATTTATAATAAAGAATTTTTTTAGTACTTTGAACTATTCTGCTTGGGTTTATCTAAAACCATTCCTTCACTGCCTTTTCTTATGGTTGTTTTTTGTGCTACAGCCAATGACCATACCTGCACACACGCAAAAGACAGGGAAGTTTTCCAACTTTCATATTAGTGGTCTTTACACTTGTGTGGCAAAACTCATGCATGCACAGATAATGGGCAACTCCAGAGCATGTGCAGATGTACTGCAGGGCTCTCCAGGGATCCTATCCTGTATCACATCTGTGTACGCACTGGGGATGGTAACAAAGTCTCTCCTAGGGGAGCAAAGCCAAGTACTATTTTACAGCACAGATAGAATACTTTTGAAAAAAAAAAAAAAAAAAAAGCAAGGTCTGATAGTAAGAGATGGAGAGGGGAGTAGGCAGGGTAGGACAACTTTACAGTGAAGTTGTCGCTTTAACTCAACAACCACCACCTTCTCCCTCACTGTGTAGGTTTTCACTCTCTTCTCCCACTCCTCTCCTGTCCCCATAACACACTTTTTTGCCACTTGTGTTGTGTGATCACCTAATACCCAATTGCATTGCCCAGTTTCCTTGCTCTTCTCCCTGCAAACTAACCCATCCACTTCTCTGGCATTGTATCAACAAATCCAGTGACTGCTTCTCTTTCAGACAGTGAAGTAAATCATCTCTTGGCTTCTTTTTCTGCAAAATCTCCTAAGGGTGAATTCATACTATGCAGCTGTCAATCAAATCGCAGAGCAGCCAGAGTGAGTCACGGCTCTGACCCCTCTTTGTTGCCGGCTGCGGTAGGGGGCAGTGTGGTGCACGATTCAGCGCAACGCACTGCTGCCTTTGTTTGTTTTGTATGGGCTTTATTTGAAGTGTACAAAATGTACACTTTCACTGCAGTGTGTGGCAGTACGATGCTTTGGCCGACATTGCAGTGCAATTTGGGCTGGTGCTCTGCAATAAAATGCAGCATGTCTGCATTCTATTGCAGAACGCTGCTGCACAGTGCTAGGCTGCATTGCAGTGTGAATGGGACACACAGGAAACAATTGTTTCCTGTGTGTCCCTGCATTGAGAGACATTTTACACTGCAGTAAAAGGTCTGTCATTGCACATAGTGTGGATTGTCCCTAAATCTCCTTTCTCAGTAATGTAAACAAAATAATTAAATACCAATTCCTGGTGGGTGGAGATGGAACTCTGATGTAAACTCTACAATAAATCAGCTGGGCTATCCAACCAGTGGGCATCCACTGAAATGGAATTTTAGTTTTCAGTGGACATAGCATGTAGGCCACTTGTTAGTTTCCTGTTATGTTGGACGATCCTTACACCTATAGTAAATATTCACCTTTTTTGCCATTGTAAACATAAGATGAATATAGATGATAAAGCAGTAACTCTATAGGGTCTTAACATTATTTGCTTGAATATTGCTGTGCAAATAAAATGAAATTAACAAGTTGCCAAGTGTTGATTAGCACATCCTTAAAGGCTTATAGCTTTGCTAAGCGATATATGTGAGTTTGATAAAACATGTGTCTTGTCCTCTGGCCTTCTTATGGTGCTTGTTTGAGAGACAGAGAATTGATATTCTATTGGCTTGGTTTCTGCATATCTCCAAGCTCATGTTCTCATTTTCAGAATTGGCCAGGGATTTGATTTTCATCTCAGCAGATATTCTGTCACCACCACTGTGCTAGTAATTATCTCTCTTATCGTTTCAATTACTTTGTGATGAGAGAAGACATTGTAGATTGTTATGCTCTAACTACATACAAAGCATGTGTTTCCTTGTTTCTCTATGACAAATATTTCTGTGATGCAAAGTCATCTTTTAGTCATTTCATTTTCAAAACAATATTTTTAATAAAACTAGCCAAACAAAAAATTGTACATCTGCTTGCCTGCTGTGAACTTCTCAGAATTGCATGTTCTTTCTAGGTACTCTTCACACTTACACACAAGGTAAACTGAAAATGTAATATTGTTGAAATGTATATAGATAGTTAAATAGAATATGAGTCAGGAGAAGAATCGATAGTTAACTTTCATTATATCAGCTTGGTGTGTATACACTGTGTGCGCAATTATTAGGCAAGTGAGTATTTTTTACCAAATCATCATTTTTATGCATATTGTCCAACTCCAAGCTATATAAACTTGAATGCTTATTGGGTTAAAGCATTGCAAGTGATGTCTATGTGTGTAATGAGGGAGGGTATGACCTAAGGAGATCAACAACCTATATCAAGCTGTGCATCGTTATTAGGCAGCTTCTTTTCCTTGAAATGGGCCAAAAAAGTGATTTAACTGACTCTGAAAAGTCAAAAATTGTTAAAGTCTTTCAGATGGATGCAGCACTCTTGAAATTACTAAGATATTGGGTGTGATCACAGAACTATCAAATGTTTTGTTGCAAATAGTCAACAGAGTCCAAAAAAATGTGTTGAGAAAAAAAGATGCAAATTACCTGCCAAAGATTTAAGAAAAATCAAACGTAAAGCTACAAGGAACCAATTATCCTCCATGCTCTCATATTCCAGAACTGCAACCTACCTGGTGTACTCAGGCGTACATAGCCAAGGTAAGGAAGGCTGAAACCCAACCACCACTGAACTAGACACATAAGTTGAAACGTCAAGACTGGCTAACAAATATCTGAGGGCAGATTTTTTCAAAGGTTTTATGGACTGATAAGATGAGAGTGACTCTTGACAGACCAGATGGATGGACCCATGGCTGGATCAGTAACGGGCACAGAGCTCCACTGCGACTCAGATGCCAGCAAGGTGGAGGTGGGGTATGGGTATGGGCTGGTATTTTTAATGATGAGCTAATTGGAACTTTTTGGGTTGAAGTTGGACTCAAAATCAACTCCCAAACATACTGCCAGTTTTTCGGAGACACTTTCTTCAAGCAGTGGTACAGGAAAAGTCTGCATCTATCAAGAAGATCATGATATTTATGCAGGACAATGCTCCATCACATGCATTGAAGTACACCACTGCGTGACTAGCCAGTAAAGGCCTTAGAGATGAAAGAATAATGACATGGCCCCCTTCCTCACCTGACCTAAACCCTATTGAGAGCTTGAGGGCCCTTCTTAAACAGGAGATTTACAGTAAAGGAAAACCATACACTTCTCTGAACAGTGTCTTGGGAGGCTGTTGTTGCTGCTACACAAAAAATTGATCATCAACAGATCAAGAAACTCACAGACTCCATGAATGGAAGGTTTATGATTGTTATTGAAAAGAAGGGTGGCCATATTGGTCACTGTATTTTCTTCTCTTTTTTTTTTTTAAATATCAAAAATGTTTGTTTGTAATTTTTTGAGTTGTTTGTTTATTATTCTTTCTTTAACAAATGAAAAACAAGTAAGATGGGGATATTTTCGTTTTTCATTTAGTTGCCCAATAATTTTTGCACACAAATATTCTCCTAAGAAAGCCAAAGCTTCACTTTTACTTTCTTAAATATTCAGTTTTAAGGTTTGACATTTCGGATTGATCAAGAGAACTGTAGTTGTTCAATAATTAAATTAATTCTCAGAAATACAACTTTCCTAATAATTGTGCACACAGTGTAGTATTTGGTTTTAAATATTAAATGTAAATGCCTCTATGCTGGTTTTGTAGGTCAACCCACAACCATATGTTCCTGTTGGTTATGGATTGTCTTTCTTTAAATAATTGTACCTATGTCACACATTTTTTTTTTTAACTCTGCTTTTTGGTAAAGCACAAAATTTGCAATTAAATATATTCTTTAGAGGATATAAAAACCACTTAGCGTGCTTTAAATGTCTTTGCACATCTAGATATTACCTGCAAGTTGTAGCAGTGACATCATCACTGTGGAGCACATATCCTGTGCTGAGAGCAGAATTG